ATTTTATGACATGGTATCCAGAGGAGCCCTAAGTTATCTTAAATTGGTTTTTTACGTTATCTCCAAAGTTGTCTGGATACCAGCTGAATTTTGGAAAAATTATATTCGATTTCCGATTGAACACAAACCTCCATAAAATAGTTGGACCAAATCGGTCCATTTTTTTATGCCATAAAACACTCGATAAAATTGTGGTATATAGAAGTTATGAACTTTGGTGGCATCCAGACGTACAAAATCTCGAAAAATGGAATATTTCGATTTTGCCAACTTTTCTTGGGAAAACGGCCATTTTATGCCATTTTTCGTGGCATCCAGAACTCGTTCGGTTGATATACGAATGATATTCTAGTAAGTTAACAACTAACTATCCTAGGCGGCAAAACTCAGCATCGAGTTCAAGATATGGTGCACGAGCGTGTACTGCGAGTCCCGGGCGTGGTCGGGGACTTGGGCGAGCGTGGCTTTGAGTTCGTGCATGACGTTCTGGACGAACGGAGCAATCGCTTGGTCCTTCGGGTTCATCACGAGCAACGACTCGCGCAACCAGTGCAAATGCAGCGCCAAGTGCTCCAAATTCAGCACGTCGCTGCCGAGCTGCTGCACCAGACACAGCACGATCATCTGCGACAGAGACGACGGCCGCTTCCCCAGCACCGCCGCCGGCTCGACATGTTCACATGCATGCCGCACCAGCGCGACGTTTTCCGCGCCGAGGGCGAGCTGGAAGCCTTCTTCAAACTGATGGTTCTCAAGCAACGTTTGAATGGCGAGGCACTGCTGGGCAAACAGGTCGACTTCGTGGCTTTCATTTGCCAGCAACGTCGTCGTCGTCGTGGCATCTTGAGCTGCTTGTGGCAGCTGGGCCAACTGGTCGCCGACTCGACTTAGTGCGTTTGTGAGCTGTGTGAGCTGCGCTTGAAACTCGGCCAAGTTGGCGTTGGACTCGACGACCTTGGCTTGCGTGCCCTTGACAAATGTGTCTTGGATCTGCTCAAACATGCGCTGCGTCGCCGCTTGAAACGACGGGATGATGTGGCTCTGGAAGGTCTCGCGGAACGCGTCGCGCACGTCCAGCCCAGTGCCGCCGCCGTCCGGCCGCCCGGCTACAATCGCGTCCTCCACCGCCTTTTGCACCGGCTTTAGCACGCTGTGCTCCATCGTGTGGAGTACAATGCGCCCGATCGCGGGCACCACGACCCCCTGCATGTGCTTTTTCACGGACTTGTCCACTTGCACGCTCACCTGTGCGGCCAAAGCCGCAAACTGGTCCTTCAGTTGCTCATGGTGTTCCCGCTGCTGCAGTTCTAGACGGCCAAGCACCGCCGACACCCCGTCGTCCGGAAATCCGCCGAGGTTCGAGGTGGGGGACGAAGACGCGTGGTTGTACGGCTGGTCGGGCGCCGGGATCGGGGGCGGCATCGGCAGCGACGACACGGACCGAGGCGACGACAACGCGTGGTTGTTGGTCGTGTGGTGCAGTTGGTGCAGCTGCGTGATCATGGCATCCACGTCGCGATGATCGTCGTCGTCGGTGGTGCTGCTGCCGGAGCTCCGTCCGCCCACGGACCCCCCGCCGCCGTCCGTCGCGAGCATCGAGCTCAACCCGGCCTCGCTCCCGTTGAAATCCGTCACTGTAATCGAAATGTCCAGTTCTACACAACAAATGGACACGAACGAACGTTAAATAACGTTATACAAGTCGATTCGAAATCGGAGGATACAATCGACCAATCAAAAACCACAACACTATTCCAGTGGCCAATCAAATTAGCCACTCTTCGACCAATGAAACATCGAATGAGTGTGACACTCGACATTTTTTGACATACAAAAGTGAGTAAACTATTAAAATAATATGTATTAAAAATTCTCTATAAGTTATATCATAAAAATTATTTAAAAAATTACTTTGAATATTACCATAACATATTTTATTATTTAATAAGTAAAAGGTAATATACGTCTTAAGAATCAATCGATCGATAAATTTGGCAAAAAAAAATCCGCACAAAGGTCAAATTTTGGGTAAAAGGACAATATACCAGTTGCGGGCGCGGCGAGTGCGCGCGGCGATTCGGCCGCCGACTGCTCGTACTGAATGGTGTCATCATCATCGTCGTCTTCGGCGGTCAGCGCGCCCACCGACTGGCCCACCGCGTGGTGGTGGTGGGTGCCATCGTACGCCGGCGCCGCCGATGGGCTTCGAGTCGGCGGCGGCGCCGCGATGTAAACCGCCGCGGCAGGCACATGGTATCGTTGAATCGCCTGCGTCTGGATGCAATACAGCTGCATGGCGTCGTCGCTGCCGGCTTTGTTAAGCACGGTCATGGACAAAATCGGGTACGCCAATGCAAACTCTGTGACGTGGTCAATCGTGGGCCGGAGAAGCAGCCGACCGGATCCGGATAAATGAAACACGTACAGCACCGCATGGCTGCGGTCGGCCACGTATAGAAACTGGTGCGTGGCATCGAGCACGACTTCGTGGGCGTGCGTCGAGTTCAATCGAACGGTTTGGATGGCTTGGGGCGGGGTGTCGTCGTCGACGGGGGACGTCCACACACTGAGGGCGGTGTTGGCTTGGCCGCCAATCAGTAGACTCGACCCGGGAGGAGGAGCGGCAGCAGCAGCATGATGGGAAGAACCATTTATATATGCGACAAAGTGCAGGCTGTTGAGCGGCGCGCCGTTGAGCGGGTTGAATCCCCGGAGGTAGTCGGCGTCTTGGCCTCGACTGGACGAACCTACTCGGTACACGTGCACGAGGCCGTCGGCGCCGGCGGTCACGACGTGCTGGCCGTCCGGTGTGAACACGACATCATGCACGACGCCCTGGCTCCGATTGCATGCGACACTGTTTGCCTGCAAGTCAAACTCGTCGTCGTCTTCGTGGCTCAAGTAGTCTGTGACAAACACAGATGAGTCCTGGACGATGACGATCTTGGTCGAGTCGACGGGGTGCCACTTGACCCGCGACGCGCGCACGGGCAGCGTCCGGACGATGTCGCGGGTCATGGGCTTGGACGCGTACGTGTCCTCGGCGAGGCGCCACACGACAATGTGGTTGTCGCTGCCGGCACTGACCAGGAGGTCCGTGGTCGCGCTGAAGAAGGCGAGCTCTGTGACGACGTGCGACTCGTGCTTTCGAAGGAGGATGCGGTTCACGCTGGACTGGTTAATCACGCGGATGAGACCGTTGCGGATGGGGTACGAAATGTAATGCTCGTTCACGGAGATCAACGTGCCGAATTCAGATGCGCGCTCGGACACGTACAGCGTGATGGGAGTGACCTCCAACGACCGCGACTCGGGGTCGAGCTTGGGGTCGTACACGGGTGATTGGCCGACGAGACGAGTGCCAGGGCGAACGACACCGGGAGACGAGATGGACGCGGACCGGATCGGCGGCATGGGTGGAGGGGGAATGATCAGACCACCACCCGCGCTCGCAGGCCGCAGCAGCGTCGGAATCGGAAGATGCGACGAAGATGGCGCGTGGTGCTGCTGTTCAGATGGTGATGTCAAGTCGGGGTCACCAGTCGGATATCCACCACTACCACTGCTTCCCCGAGAAACAGAAAACGGAGCGGGTGGTGCGCGTGGTGGTTGTTGTTGCTGTTGAAGGGCCAAGTTCGGGAAGAGCTGACTTAACATATGTGACGAGGGAGGCAAGTGGGGTGGGTGCATGAGAGTTGGATGGGGCGGAAGGTGATGTTGCTGTTGGTGGTGGGGATGGTGTGGTTGCGGTGGTGGGTGGTGGTACATGGCATGCTGCTGTTGATGCTGGTGGAGATGCTGCTGCTGTTGCCCAAGATGGGATGGAGGCGGCGGCGGATACGGATGTGGCGGGTAGTTCTGCATGTTCGGTGGTGGGGCATGTACCACGTGCGAGGAGGATCCATTAGACGAAGCCACGGAAGCAGTCGGACTTGGCGCGCGGCGCGACGTCGAGTTGTCCATGGCCGCTTGTTTTCCAGTAACCTTCGCTTGCGCCCCACCCTACACGGTTCGGTCCGGTTCATTCGGTGCACCGAACCGTACCACTCAAGCTGCCACCTTTTGGCTTGAGGTTTGTATACCTGGCATTCTATGCCAGAAGCGACATCACCATGGTATATTGTACTACGTAGTACTACGAAGTAGTACATTATTGTACTAAATGTCGTACATTTCAATCTATTTGTCTCATTTGCACCTGAATGTACGTTAATGTACGTTGTACGTACGCTGTACGACATTCACCTAAGATATTTCTGGGTGAGACTGCCGTGATTGCCGGCTACCGCTCGACACATGCGATTCTGCGTCGCCCATACCATACATGGAACAAGCATTGCAAAGGGTAGAGAGTCCTCTCTACCACAACTCGCGCCATCTACACGGCCATGGCGCTCGCAGACCAATTGCATTATGGCGGTTCATCGTGCTTGGAGTAGGCATGTTGGCCTTGTGCTCCGTTGGGTTGTTCTACCAAGTACAGTACATACACATCACGGCAGCACCACAGCATCTCAGGGCCGACCATGTATCGTCGTACTCAACGATACTTCCAACCCGACGACCAACGGAAGCAGCACTGCCGCATCGCAATCCCGCCCCTGTCCCGTCCGCGCTATCTACAACCCAACGACACGTGGACGCTGAAGTTGACACTATAGCACTACCATGGCCTCCTGGAAACCCCTACGCGTCCTACCAGTGCAAAGGATGGCGGCAAACTGGCGGATGCGACCCCGACGGCGTCCGTGAACCCCTGAATGACAAAGGATGCTCTGCAGCGATCAGCGGAGGACTCTCAGGGTACTGCGAGTTCCACGACCCCGTGAAGAATGACACGATCCACTTCATGAAGATGTCGTGCGAGTCGCTGCGTGCTCACGTCGCGTTCTCGTGCAACATGACGTTCGACACGGTCATGTTCCATCGGCACGCCGCCGTCTACCGCCATCCTTGGAATGTACGATCATCCTAGAAAGCGCAAATGTCATCCATGATATACACACGTGTAGCTTCAAGGGGACCCCCGATCCCGCGGCTACCTCAACAGCAGTGCCTTTGACCCTACACCCCACAGCGTAGCCACACGCCCTCCAGGTCGAACTTGGTACGCCGATGCCGTCGGCGACAGCCCTTCTCGTGGCATCGTCGTGGTCGTGTACGAGAAAGCGCTCGTGCCAATGTATGCAACCCTGCGCTACCTTCGGCACGACCTCAACTGCACCCTCCCCATCGAGATGTGGTACCGGTCGGACGAACTGTCGCCGCACAACAACACCGTCATGGCGTCCATGTTGGCGCTTCCCGAGGTCCATCTGCGGGAGATCCGAGACCCCATCGCCACGGGCTTTTACGTCAAGCCATACGTAATATTCTTCTCGCAGTTTGAGCAACTGCTGTTCCTTGACGCCGACAACGTTCCTCTGAAAGACCCATCGTTCCTCTTTACCACGGCCGAGTTCCAAGCCACTGGTGCCGTCTTCTGGTACGAACACGCTGTGTCACACACACATTGATCATAAGTTTGATTGGGCCAGTGTTGTAACACAGACACGAGTCGATGATTGGTTGAAATGTTTTGATTGGTTCGTGCTTTTGATTGGCTAGGACATTTTCAAACATGTTTGATTGGACAGACTCCAGTAACAATTCGATATATTTCGTGGGCATGTGAACTATTAGCTCCCATAATTGTTTTACCATGATATATGTGTGTACTTTGCGTAGGCCCGACTTTTGGCACCCGCATAACACGATCTTTAACGTTCATGCAAAGAGCTTTGTGTGGACATTACTCGACGTTCCGTTTATCGACATGTTTGAGCAGGAAAGCGGCCAACTCGTCGTGGACCGGTCGAGATGCGAGCGCGCGCTACACAAGCTCATGTTCTACGCGCTCCATCGCATCGAGCCGCAGCCCCCGATCAAATACTCCAGCATGCAGTTCGGCCCCACGCTTCCGGTAGATGCAAACTTAATCGCGGCGCTGGTGCTACTGTGGGGGGACAAGGATCTGTTTCGGCTCGCGTGGCTCTCAACCAACACGTCGTTTCACATGGTTTCGACGCCACCGGGGGCGATCGGGATGTACGGAAAGCCGCCCAAGGTGAACGACCGCGGGGAGTTCGTGCCCGGGGACAACGACGCGCTGCCCGATCGGTTCTGCGGCAAGGCCATGGTCCAGTACGACGTCGGAAATTCAACCAACCAAACGCCCCCCGAGCCCCTCTTTGTCCACCGCAACACGGTCAAACTCGGCCGAAGCAACGCGTCGCGCGCCAAGCAGTGGTTTGCGTACCAGAGAATAAGACCGACAGTCGTCGCCTACAAGGACGTGGTCGATCAGTACAAGATCCAAGCGTGGAGGGAACGAACGAGTTGCTTTGGCGAACCCCTTGGCGCCACCGAGACCTTTGAGCTCACTGACACCGCCTCGACTGTGTTTGAAGCCGCGGAAGGGAAGCTCCTCAAGTATGCAGACGAGGCCGCGGCGATGCTCCCGCCCGAAACGACCGCGCCGTCGACGATCAAGATGTCGACCAATCTACCGACCCCCGCCCGGTCTCAACCGATCAAAAGCCGAGCGGCCGAGCCAGACTTGATCGATTAAAAGCCATAGATCCTGACGAAATTGTACGTACACATCGGGGTCACAGCATACGAGGAGGATGGACGGATAAGAGTTTGTGTGTGGCGTAATAACACGGAAATGCTGCCTCAAAGCAGCAAGCAGCTGAAGTGGACTATGTATAACGTCACGATGAGAATTGCTGTCGTCCAGAGTTTGGACTACAAAAGCTGTGGTACAATCTCTGGAGAGCTGTGGTACAATCTCTGGAACCAATGTAGCCATTATACTGGCACTGTACTACTGGTGGTACAGTAGTATTATAGTTGCATTCATCTGCTACTTACTATTGTGCTTTTCACATATTTTGCCCGTTGTTTTAGCTCCTAAAACCATCCAAAGTTTAACCTAAACTGAAGTTGCACTAGACGTAAATGTAAGCTTCCCCACCGTTCTGTCATTGGCTGATCTAAAACTTGCGTTGTTTTACTAAAACTACTTCGTTTTATTAACTCCCGTGGCCAAGCAGGCATGCAGAGTAATGACCTACTGGGGTAAGCTCGCAGTGCACCAGCTCACACGAGCTTTGCAGCCAGCTTGTTAGCAACTCGTTGGCACGAAAAGTCGAGCAAGAAGCACTCAACATCAACCTTTATCGAGCATAGTCAAGAATCACACTCGCGTGTATTAGTTAATCCAGTCTGTAAACCCCCGCGTTTGCCGA